TGGTTATGTTTCCTAAACTATATGTCATTTATGAAAGTTCTTATGAAGTTTCAAACAGTTTTATCCACTAGTTTTATTGTTGGAATGAAATATAGCAAGACTTTCATTGGCTACTCAGAAGGATAGTAGCCGGTGGTCATCGGGTTAAACCAAATGAATTCAACCTGTGTGATTCTGTTGTAACCAGTTGAATAGTTATGTTGTACAAGTGTGAAATATTCACTTTTTAATGATTATTCTGTATGAATCTATTTTGTTTTCAACAAGTGTGTGAATGTTGATAGATTGAATTGTTTCATTCTGCTATTTTTCACATTTTGTTTTTTATTACTGAAACGATTCTAACTTTAGTTTCTGTTTCACTTGGAACCTGCTCTACAATTTTCATAACATAAACTTGTGACCTGTATGATTAAATATAGGTGTTAAAATTATATTTGAAAAGATTTTAGGAGTTCTAGGTATCAATGTGTTGGTTTGTGTATGTATGTTTAATACCTTTGAAATGGTTTAAAAGCTTTTGACATTTGTCCACAAAATTTTGTAATTACAAGAATATGGTTGTTATGTGAACAATGAGTTAATAATTTATACATATTCTTCCAGGAATGATGGTAGTTTTGTGGTTAATAACTTACTGCCAGGGTCGTATGTCGTAGAGGTGGCTAACCCAAATTACATTTACGAACCAGCTCGGGTCGATATAAATTCCAAAGGTAAATTTAGAGCCCGTAAGGTCAACTATATCCAAAGTTCTTTGGTTCATCAAATAAGTTATCCACTGAAGCTGAAGTCAAGAGGACCATTTAAATACTTCCAGGTTCGAGAAAGCTGGAGAGTAACTGATTTTCTCATGAATCCTATGGTGAGTTTTGGGGTTAGGTTTTGATGAAACTAATAATAGGCTATACTGTTAATAATTATGATGTTCATATACCTAAGGATAACAAAACCATGACTTTAACTTCCTGGACAGCCATAAAACTTTCAGTGTGAAACAGTATAATTATAGGGGGTTCTATAAATAGTCACAACAAAGTACAGTTTTTATGCAAGCAAATGCATTTATCTAAATGTTCTCATTAATGGTGCCCATATTTACTGAAAGTAGATTTTACATTTCCTTTTTGACTAAATGATACATTCTGCAATCAATGATAAATTAAAACACGTTTAAGATAAATTGTTTTATTGCCTCTTCATGTGTATATTAACTCTTATCCACACTTGGATTGGTGCATCCTGACAGTTATAGAAATAAACTTGTCATTCTACCACATACAATGGAAAAAAAAAAAAAATTCTGAGTTGAAATTTATCCAATAGAACAATTTTATTTTATATGTAGAAATATATCACAAATTTAGATTTTTCATTGATTTCAACATGCTTTAAATAAATGAAAACAGTAGTGTTTGTAAAATTCCTTATGTTTTCTGAGTATAATATGGCATGTGTAGTCCATAGGAGGAAAGTTGAAATAGTTTGAACAAAAGATTGTTAATCTGATCTTGCAACTTCAAGACAAGTATAGTTTTATCAACTTAACCAGTCATTATTTTTCAGCTTATGTTTTCATAGTGTGATATATGTAATTGCTAAGCTTTGATAGATCATAAGACCTTGTTATTTTAAATTCAAGGTTGTCAATATCTGTAATTTGAGTTCCTAATTCGTATGAAACTATAAACTTAGTATTTTGACTTCAGAAACATCTAGTTTGAACCAGTGCTGCATACTACATGACAGACAAAAAATAGATGTTTATTTTTTTTTAATATTTACTTTCAGATTAACAAATTAAGTAATGTATAGTTCTAAAATTTGAATTATAATCTACAGTTTGATACCAAACTTATTGAAATATTAAAAGGGTTATACTACTTCATTATCAATGTGTACAAATACACTTGTCATCAGAATATAGTTAATAAATTAAATTTTAATGTTATAAGTTTTAATATCTTGATTTTGAAAGGAAATATTTAAATATATCCTCAATCTCCCTTTGAATGAGAATCATGACTTTTTTTAAGTCTTGCCCATTCTGTAATTTATTTACCACATCTCTTTGAAGTATGGAGTTTAATGTAAATTACTCTGTAATATAGAAATTACTAAGGCAAATTATAATTTCTATAACTTTCAATCTTTGTTTACAGAAACATAAACTAGACCCAGTTGCTACCCATACTTGTCACATCCTCTCTTTCACAAATTGCCAATAATTCTAGCTGATGTTTTCTATTATATCATTTATAACCAATAGAAAGGTAAAGAATTAATCTATCGAATGACATATAATGCTACATTATTCTCAGTACAGTGTTTTATCCAATTTGTCTTCAGTTTGAATGCTTCTCTTGTAGTGTTCAGATCAAGTAGCTAAGGGAATTATTTTAACATTTATGTCTTAGTTAGAAAGCCAGTTAAATAATATTATCGTCGTTGGACATTTTTTGGCTGTGTGTGTGTGTTATAATTCTTTGTTATTAGATGCATTCTTTAAATAGATAAATTTCTCTAATGTACAAATACCGTCATTAAAACAGAAATAGGCTTAAATTTCATCAGCAACCAATAGCAAAAATAAGGACATTGGGCAAATGTTTTGTAAAAATACTTAAATAATTTGAATTTTTCTGTACAAATGGCTTCTAATGTTTACTGAAAGCTTCCCAAATTTCATGAAGGTGTACATACCATATTGGAAGCTATAATATAGGTACTCCTATGATTAATTGGTGGCTACAAGGTCAGTGTAATCCACCAACTGCATATGAAAAAAGCTAACTCTTTGACTATGGGAATCCACCCAGCTCATAACCATCAAATTATCCCAAGAGTAGCAATACTATAATTTTTGATAATGTATGCATATCTTCATGAAGTTTTGCAGATTAGCAGTAAACAGTACAAGGCTTTTGTACACAAAATATCAGGTTCTTTATTAAGTAATTAAGATTTTGTAATTAAAGATTTGCTCGTGACCTTTTTTATTATTTGGAATGTTGACTATTCAACATGCAAAGTAGTGTTGATTTTAAAATTAAAATTACTTTTATTTATCTGAAAATTGTAAAGTTTCATTTGCATAACTTCTATAACCTCCTAGATAACCATCAAATGTGTTTTTGAGAAAACTTTATATTTTATCTGTTATTTTATCAATCTTAACTCTATACAGTTTTGGTCAACTTGACTGACTTTGTAAACCACCATAAAAATTAGGAAATAAATCTAAATTACAATTTTTTGTTCTAGATTGACAACATGCTGTAACAGGAAACCACAAGGGTTTATTTAAATAGCTCAAACCTCGTAACAGTATACATCTATTTATATTTATTAATTTTTTATGGATTTTCTTCTAAATGTTTCACTTTTTCCTGATGGAAGCCTATCAGAGGAATTGGAGGTTGAGGAAGTAGATTATTCTCTTGCAATGTTTCTGACAGTAGTTTTTCATAAAAATCAATGGCTCTTCTTGATTCTGTCCTGTGGACAGGTCAGGGTGTAGCTGGTGAAAGAGCACTAAGTGAAGATGGTCCTGAATCAAGGCCAAGTATTTCACATGAAGAATCACAACCATCAAAGAGAGTCAGGAGAGGAAGAAGAGGAAGGAGCAGAGCTAGAGCCTCTGCTGGAGCTGTTCCTTCCCAGCAGGAGAAGCTTGTCTCCTGTAATGATAGATGGAGATGGATTGAAATATGTGAAGAAGAACAAAACAGGCAATCAACATTACATGTTTTTTTAAGTGTGGAACTTTGACAGCTGTAAAATGGACTGACAAACGAGACATTTATGCACTTTCCACTCTTAATACTATGACAACTGTGACAAGAAGAGGGAGGAACACTGAGGTTACAAAACCTCAGTTAGTTGTGGACTACAACTAGTTTATGGGTGTGGTGAACCTGAATGGTGAACACATAAATTACTATTCTGTTGGATGAAACATGATAAAGTGGTATAAGAAACTGTTTTTTTGACATTTGGACTTGACAATTGTAAATGCTTACATAGTGTACAAAATTTAGACTAACCATCCAACACTGTCCCAGAAGACCTTTAGAATGGACTTGGTCACTTAGTTTGTTCATTCTTTACTTGAAAGCAGATCAGGTTTTTTTGGTATACCACTATCAAGAACTGTTCAGGACTCTTCAACTCTGAGACTAACTCTTGGAAGGCATTACCCAACACTTGTTGAAAAAAAGGTGATAGGAAATGATGCAGATTCTGCCTTACAAACAACAAGATACAGATGAAATGTAAACTCTGTAATGAGTTTCTTTGCATCAAACACTTTGAAGAATATTATACTAGTGCTGTTCTTCAAAGAAGTTAAAAGTTTCTGGTATTTTCTGTTCATAGTTTCTGTGTTTCCAATTTTATTATTGGTGTTTTAATGAAATATTTTTGAACAAGTGTTCCTTAATCTTGTATGTACAAGTAAAGAAACAAACTTTTCAAAAAAGGAAGTAAATGTAGAGATGGCTAATATCAATTCTTCAAAAAAAAAATGCAAACAAGATTCATGTTGGCCATCCCTACATTTTCTTCCTTTTTTTGAGAAGTTTTTTCTTTATTTGTTTGCTTGTTTTTTTAATGTAGTGTTTCAATAGATATAGGAAGGTTGTGTTTATAACCAAGTTATAAATACAGTGAGCATCCAACTGTAATATTTATCTTTTATGTATTGTTGGCTAGTAATTCCTGTTTCCCTCTGCACTTAAGCTTTTTAAAGGAACACTAAATTTCTTTAAGAAAGCTTACTTCAAGGGTAATGAATTATGATATTTTTTTCTCTTTACTACTAGTTATTAATAATACTTATAAAAGCAGATACTCTATTTGAAACTGTCACTTCAGGAACATTGTTTTGGTTTTTGAGTTATGTAATAAGAAAGAAGCAGAAGAAAGAAAAAGAGATTCAGACTTTTTGCTATGATATTTACAAACATTCCCAGAACTTGTGACTCAGTCATTACATATATATTGTTATAAAAGGAGACACTATATATTATTGTAAAGTTCTGATGACCTATTTAGTAGATATTTAAAATACCATTTGTATGAACAATCTGAGCCATCCCTACATAGGCAGTGCTACTGCCTATGTGATAGTAATTATGTTCCTTTTCATGTGTTGAGTTTGTACAACTTTTTGTGACTTTATACAGTTTTATGTACATTGTTCTCTACATAAGTGATTACTTTTTGCTTGAATGTACAATAAAAGTTCCTAAAATTTCTCTATTTTTTAATAGTGGCATTTTACTGAAATATTTTTGTACAAATTTTCCTTGAAGTATACACTTTTGTATATATAGTAATGATGCTCTTTTCATGTGTTCTTTGAGTTTGTATAACTTTTCTTTATTTGTATGTACATTGTTCTCCATATATGCAATTACTTTTTATCTGAATATAAACTAATATGTTCTGAAACATCTCCATTTTTTCTTATTTTTCAATATTGATTTTTTACTGAAATATTTTTGAATAAGTGTTTCTTGTATGTAGGGTAATGATGCTCCTTTCCATATGTTAAGATCAGTTTATCAGTGATAAATTTATTTCATTGACTTATAAGCCATTCTGTCTTTCTTAAATTACATAAATACACCTTTCCTCAATTGTCAACTCTCTAGTTTTGTATATTTGTTTTATTCTACTTCAATATAAATAAGTAGGAAAATAATACAAGTTCAACAAACAAATATGCTCATCTATAATAAAACTGGCCTAGAAAGTAAAAATCTCTTATTCTACTTAGTCTTAATCTTAGCACTAGCGTATCAGTATTTTGTAAAATACAGACATATGTATATATATATATTATTATTATTACTATTAATACTATTTACAAATAAATACTCAAATTTCAGTTATTTTTCTTAAAACATAGAACAGTAAATAAAAACTATTTGGAAACAATGATCTACATTATTTACAATGTTACAGAGTTGTTTTTTGCATTTATGAGTCATACTTGCTAACCCTTGTTGTAAGCCTCATTCAAATTCACGTGTGGAAGTGGAAAAAAATTCATTTTTGTAGACCTTATATATGCGTTTTGGAATCTCCAAAAATTATAAATTACTATACTAATTCCACCAAAATTTACTGTCATTTACCAGGTTTCCTAATTCAGCTGTATTTGGGTCTAAAATATTCTCATTTCTGTTCAGAAAATAGTCTTAATCACAATACTTCAAACACTCCAATGATATAAGAGTTTCCTCTCATAAATTATTTAGGAAGATTGACAGAATTATGTAGATGAAATTTAGAGCTTTTGATTGGTTATAAACTTGTAGGCATAGATGAACAAGTCTTCTCAAATGATCAAGGGGTGGACAGAGCCAATATGGTGGGTTCACTAAATATCATATTAGCAAATAGAAAATTTAGGTGGTTCTTATTTTATATTCTAGCTTGTCAGTATTGAAAATTTGAGTTTCTAATTCATAAGAAACTATAGATGGTGTATTGTGGGCATCATAAAGTGTAATCTGACCAAACCCAGAAGATGACATACTGCGTGATGCACAAAAATCAATATTTAGCCTTTTTATATATATTTACTTCCAAATTAAGAAATTAACTGATGTATAATACTAAAACTTGAATTATAATCTACAATTTGATGCCCAACTTATTAACATGCATTCATAAAATAGTAGTTCAATATAATTTGAATATAAGTATACAAAAGTAATGACATGCCCTTTGATTGTTACTCAGAGTGCTAGAGTTAATGCTTCACATAATTTATTTTCTTGGAAGACATACTACATGAAGCCATGATACATAACATGTGGGCTACTATAGAGGTACACATTATTTTTCACCTTTTGTGTTACCTGTTCTGTCTGATCCTGATTCTTGTTCAGGGCATTGTTTTTTTTTATTTTCAGTCAGGGTTATCTGTGCGTACCTTGTTCCCATTGAATCTTTCAGGAGGGTTTTGAAAAGGTTGTTAATACCTTACAACAAATTAGACTCTGTAGATCTTGCTCAAGCTACTTTAACAGATAGGATTGTATAATGGATCCATTTTATTTACTGTGATGTTCCGAAATGCCTCAAAGGTGAATTTTGGATTGCATCTCACCAGATTTGCCATTTGGAAATGTCTGACATCCTAGTCAAAGTTCCATACAGAGGATATCTCTCAGACTGGCAGGTGTACAAATCTGTTTGTCATTAAAATTTTATTTACATTTCATTACTCTTTCTTCACCTTAGGAATACTGTTTGCTTTCAGTTGTGTTTCTTCAAGCTAGAAGGGATTCATAGCAGGTGAGCTCTTCTCTGTTGTCTGCTTAATTTCCACTTGGGTTTACACCTTTAATTATGTATGGTAATTCAGTTATAACTATGCTACCCAACACCTCTTTTTATAATTTCTTGGATGAGGTATTACTAAAAATACATATATATCCCATTCTCTCTTTTATCAGACTCCATGTTGGAATGGACTTGTCAGCATTTTTTGATTGTTCTAGATAAATTTTACTCTCTACTCTGGTACTCCATGAGACTATGATGTCTTCTCCTCTGGAAGTAGACAGAAGATGCCATCAGAGATGAAATGTCTGTTCTCCATATGAGTCTTATAGCTCCAACCAGGATGGGGAAATCATTACTTGTTTTTTACATTTGTATTTTCTAACCTTATTTGTTGTTCATGTTTCACTGTCTGTGAATTGTCAAGCCTATCCAGATCTGCCTGGGTATTTTGGTTCACCCTGGATGCCCTGTGATAAGGTAAGTTTCATGACTTGGCCAGCCTTTTCAGGTGGGGATCTAGCCTCAGCAGCATCTCCAGTAATTAGTTATTACCGATCTTTCCCTCTTAGAATCTTCCATCACATGTACAGAACAGTGCACTGCATTCTGACACTATGTTCCTGTTACCACCACTACTTGTGTGTACACCTGAGAATGTGCATGGTTTTACATTTGCTTACAGTAACATTTAATATCATTTCAAAAAGTGTCTAGGGTGTTGAGGTATCCTGTTTTGAATAATGCCTTCTTTGTAAGTGTCATTTAATTCTCTCTCTTATGAGATTGGTCTGCTTCAGTTATTTTGCTCACGAATCCAATCCATTATCTTTTATTCTGTTCTGGATTCTTCTCAACCTTTGCTTGATAAATTGTTTGGATGACCTGGTTGTTGGAATGCTTGACTTGTAATCTGTGGGTTGTGGGATAGCAATCAGTTGGCAGACATGCTTACCATTTCATGTGCAGGGGCATTATAATGTGATGGTTTGTCCAATGTTTTGTTGTTAAAAAGTAGTCCAAAAGTTGGCAGTGGGTGTTGATGACAATCTGCCTGCCTTCTAGTCTATCACTTCAAAATTAAGGACAGCTAGTGCACTAAGCACTCGAGTAGATTTCCACAAAATTCATCAAAGAAATAAGATTTTTTTGGTTGTCATGATCTAGGTTTTTACTTTCCTGCCTCTGAACCCATTTTTTCATAAAACAGTGTTCCATATGACACTTTGGTTCCCTTTTCCATCTCATTGTCAGTATTCTGGCTTCTTGTGTTTAAGAAGTAAGTCTACCTGACTGAATTTTATAATTTAACTAAATTTCAAACTGACACTTGTTTCTAAAATACATAACCGCTAACCTCTGCACAACTGGATGGTATATATTGTGTCATCATGACTGCAAACAAAGAAATTAGTTTATCGTGTGAAAGCAGATCTTATGTACTTTCTCCTGACACACACAATAAGTCACATGGAAGTTGGGAGAGTGGAGAACCTGGGGTAATTTGATACATATTCTGTATTCCATCATGGATGATGAGAACTTAAACTTGTATGATTCTTTACAACATTAAAGCAAGCCCAATGTGTACACTTGTAATTTTCATTATCTTTTATTAATCAATATTAATTTACGTATCATTGACTTCATGTTTTACTTCCTAATTCAAGTCATATCTTTATGAGAAAAATCAAAATTCAGAAATGTTACTTACCTCTCTGCACCACTAAGAGCTATTACCTTGCTTGCAACAGGTGTAGAATTTCCTTCACATGTTGCACGCCTTGAATAAACTCCCACCTCTCCATGTGCTGTGTATTGCACCGGTCTAAGATGTAATAGTCAGAATTCTGTAGCCCTCCACCAGTACGAGGGTGACACAGCCTCCATATGTGATAGTCACTGTGATCAGGCTTTTCATGGCACTGCTTGTGCTCAAACATGTTAAGTTTGTAATCAATTGCCTTTGTTTCTTTAGCACTACATTGCTTTCATCCTTGTTACAGTTTTGTTCCATTACCTGCTGGCAAGTTTGATTTCTCTAGCCATCACATTTCTTCTTTTGGCTTCTTTCAACAACATCAGTTAAGTAAAATATTATATAAAGTCCTAAGACCCAAACATTATTTTTCAGGCCTTTTTTTTCCAACTGAGTCAATGGTGACTAGAGACACTTTGTGTTCTTGGACCTGACATTCTGTTGGTATCCAAAGCACTTAGTAAAGTGACAGATCTCAGGTTTCACTTTGTGGCAAGGTACTTTTGATTTCCACCAGCTTTATTGAGCTATGATGAACTATGGTGTACCAACAAGTTAATTGATGATTTTCTCACTTTCATGCATCAGGTTGTTGTTTCCCCTTCTACATAATCTTCTGCAGTTCATGTCCTGAGTCATTTTGCTTCTTTGCCTTCTGTAGAGCCTGTGGACAGTTTCAGCTGGTTCTTTTACAATTGTAAACCTCTTATTGGTGTACGGAATGTCCCACATCTAAAGCTACCATTCATTATTTTCGGCCAGTTGTGGGAAAGTAGTTGATTCTAATTTTTACAATTATTAAATTAAAGTTAAATAAATTACTACAACCAGATCATTGGAAGTGATAAGTAAAATATATTTCCTGAATCTGGCAATCCAGCTATCAGAATAATGAACACGTACATGTATTGACATTATAATAAAACCTATAATATAACCTATGTCAGATTTAACTCCCCCCCCCCCTCCAACCTTGGGCCAAATGTTTGTTACCTGTTTTGGCTTGCATGCTGGACTACTTTGCAACCAAGGTTTCATGGTTTGCATCCTATTACTGCCAACAAATAAAATTGATTTTTTTTATACTTTAGGGCCATGGGTGCATTATTAAACTAATGGTCAAATTCCACTATTTGGTCTGACTAGACTTGTCAGTGGGTAGTATCAACTAGCCTGTCTGTCACTTCAAAATTAGGGATGGCTAGTGCAGGTAGTTTTGTGTAAAATCCAACAGACATTCCACTCCTTCCCTCTCTATATAAAACCATTATATTTCAAGGAAAACAAACAAATGATGGGCAGAAACCATTTACGCACAGTGTCTAGAGTACTAGTTTATGTACAAAAAAAGGAAATGAGGAATTCAGTATGACCAAAAGCTTTCAAGTTTAGGTGTGTGTGGTTATTACTGTTGTTTTGTATATTGGCTAATGCACAGAACATTAATAACTTTGTCATTTCAAGATTTCACAGTTTTAATGCATAATGATGCCTACATTTGTGTGAACAGTAAGTTTTTGATTATGTTTATTTTGCCTTTTGTAGGTATTGATGATGGTGTTACCACTGTTGTTGGTGATGGTCCTTCCGAAAATGATGAATGCGGCTGACCCAGAAACACAAAGGGTGATTTTTGCATTTCTTTGATACTACTCTTTAATGACTTGAGTTTTGATATTTTGATGTGTTATAGATTATTTTTGGTTACGTTCTTTTTCTGTCATATTTTTGGTTTAGAATTACTTCACACATGGCTGTTAATGTGTAGATTTTATTTCAAGAAAAATCACATTAAACCTGTTAATAATAGTAAGTAAATGCACAATGATGCTTTGTGCTTTCTAAGATTTTCTGGAGGACTTGTATTCCTTTACCTAACAAATATGAGCAAAAAATGTTCATCCATTAGAGTTTATTCACTAATGAGAGAGAGAGAGAACTTAAAACTTTCTGTGGTGAATCTATCCAGGAAGGTTATATTTTTTATCAGCAGTTGATGTTTCACAAGAACAAATTGATGCAGTTAATTAGAAAAAAACATATCAGTATAATGATATATACAATAAGCATGTCTTTAGATTACCATCAGTACATGCCAAAATTAATTTTCATATACCAAGATTATAAATCATTGTAACAAGTTCTGTGCAATTTAAGTAATCAACTGATGCAGTACTTCCCTTTGTTAGGTAGTAATTTTTTTTTCCTTATTGTAATGTAGCTTTCCACATAACATACTTTAACAAATATAATTTGTGGAAAAAAGAAAACTTTTAGAAATACAAGAAAAAACTGATGTAATAAGCATGTAAATTATCTGCTATAATTTTTATTTATTTTGTAAGTTCTTTATAGGGAACAAATAGATGATAGTATTGTGGTTAAAGAATGCTATTACAAGTAAAAGATTACAACTTGAGAAGTTGAAAACCCAAATACTTTTGATTCAATTCTGATTACAAATTTCATTTGGAAGCAAAAGGTTTTAGCTTTCACTCATAATTACCTTATTCCTTTGCTTTCTTTTTCATCCTATTTCTTTTCTCATTATACCATAAATCTTTACATATGCATTAATACTTTTCCAAACCAATATCTATATATATATATATAAATTAAGTTGAACTATTGTAGAGAATCATTACATAGTTGAAAGTTATTTAACTGACTTTGGAAGTATTGCTTACTTCTATCTTAAACCTGAAAGTGAGAGAGAGACGTATATATATAATCTTTTGAATGAGCTCTTAGTTTCTTTAATTGTGGCTCATCCACCTTTTAATATTACATGTTTTTCCCAACACAACAAACACTAGCATTAAACTTTTATAGTCAAATTCTGTAATAGTAATTAATGACCAACATTTTTCTTCTTTACTTAACCCTTTCAGCATAGGCTTGGACCCTTGGACCCTCCTCGTAACATTTTTTGCTTGTTATAGTTTTCATGCTATAATTTTGCAATTAGTAAGCGTCGGTAAACATTACAATGCTTTCATACGCAAAATATCAAGTTTTTTTTATTAAGTTTTAAAGTTTGTAAAGCAATGTTTTTCTCATGCCTTTTTGTTCTTTTTGCATGTTGGATAGGCAACATGCAAAGTAATATTCATTTTAAGATTAAAAATATTTTTAGGCATCAGAAAATTTTCAAATTACACACGCAAAATCTTTATGATGTACAGATAGTTAATAACCTGATGATGACAAAACCTAGTCGAAACGTTGTTCATTTGCTGTTTTGTTAAACTTATATTAAAGTTTTTCTTCATTACCCATTCAAGCCGTCTCCAAGCATTATTAGTCTCAAAGTGGGTTCCTCATCATTGAAAATAGTTTGTAAATGTTTCTTAAGAAAAAACTATATTTTATCTGTTATGTTCGGTAATGAATCTCTGTATGGGTTTGGCAGATTGGATTGATCTCATAACCACCATAAATAAATAGGAAATAAATATGAATTATGTCTCTCTCATTCTATAATGGCAACAAATTATAACACAAAAACATACATGATACCCGAAAGCGCTCGGGTTATAGGTTTTTTTATTCATTTCTAACACGAAAACATAAATGTTTAGACTAAATAGCTTAAATCTCATTACATTATACATTTATATATATATTTCTTATTTTTATCGTATCGACATTTCAGCCATGCATGGCTAACAATAAAGAAGTTACAATGACGCGGCACACATGCACATGTTACTGTATCCAATAATATAAAACTGACCTTTAGCCTTTACAAAGTGACCTGTCTTGGCTGTGTTTTAGTAGACTAGTATTTTGCAAAATACACTCACATTTCAATTATTATACATTATATATGTATATAGACTATTGCTGTTTTGAAATAAGTTCTTAAAGTTATGTTTCCTAAACATGGAACAGTAAATAAAGAAATAATGCAAATGCTCTTCTAGTTATGACCTTTGTACTCAGTTGCTGCTTGATGTAGGTTGCTAAGCCTTTTAAAATTTTGCACGTGGAGGATATGAAAGAAAATAATTTTTTTTAGGTCTTGTATATATATACATTTGAATAATCAAAAAAATCATAAATTACTGTATTGATACCATAAAATTCCTCTTTAATTTATCAAGCTTAGTAACTAAGCTGTATTTTGGTAAAAAAAATAAGAAATTTTGAGCAGATTTGAGACACAACCTACCTCCTTGAAATCTTAGTTCGAAAGAATGAGATGGAATCCTAACAATTTAAGATAGCTGAGAAAGTCACTAGAGGATATTCTGAGCTTTTGATTGGTTATTCATATCATATATAGAAGTAAGTGTATATAGAATGAGTATTCTGACATTACAAACATCTAATTTGAACCAGTGCTGCATTCAACATACCACATGACACACAAAAATTGATGTTTAACTGTGTTTTTTTAATATCTACCTTTAAATTATGAAATTGATTAATATATAATACTAAACTTTGAATTATAATCTACAGTTTGATATACCAAACTTATTGACATTAATTTAGTTCAATAAAATTTTGAATGCTACTCAACAAATGTGATGACATGGCCTTTGACTCCTGACCTGTCTGGAAAGGGTTAAGTAACTTGTAGAAGATAAATTTTGATGTGCATGATTGTATTATACAACTTATAAACAAAGCCATAGGAAGTGATAAGGCCAGTCAGGGGATGGTCTGACCACTTTTTCATGGCTGTATAGGCTACAGCTTATGTATTAAATCTTGATTCTTTTAATTCAACACATTACATTGTGTGTATACAGTATTTGTAGTTAAAATTGTTCAAGATTCAATCTCACAGCATTAAATTTTAAAAAATGATCGTGCGGTCATGCCCACAGCCTCCCCACACACACACACACACACACACACACACATAGAAATGACAATGTCACAATGGCCTGACTACTCCAAAATTGGTTCCTACAGCAATGATAAATCAGTTAGATTCATGACAATCAAAAAATGTCTGATTTGGATTGTTTCTTTATACAGGAAATGCAACAGCTGCAGATGCCCAAGTATGATATGCCAGAACTTTCTGAAATGATGACATCATTGTTTACTGGAGGAAAGAAGCCCCAGCCAAAAAGTTCCAAAGTATCCAAGAAAAGACAGTAAATTATAAGCATACTGTTAATATTACATTAAAATGTGTCAGCCTTTACTGTTAATATAAACACAACCTGAAAATGATTTATGTATTGAATTCTTCTGATATATTTATTATAGTATTCCTATTGATAAATTATTTGTAAGTATAAGCAGAACCCAATATTTTTTGATGATATAATGAAAACCAGGGAAATGTTTTATCATATTTCTAAGTGAATATACATTAATATGTATGATATCCCAGTTCTTTAATATTCATCTAACTTTGAATTATAAACAATATTATACAAAATTTAAGTTTTGGTGAAAATTGAAATGTATAATCTCATGTTAACAATGTAAAAATATTTTTTCTTGAATTCAGCCAGTCAGCATTGATAAACACTTTGAAAGAGATAGCAATAGACCTGTTTTTGTTGATTCTAGGACTATTTGTGTTGTTACTTAACAGCAAAACATACCATTCAATTTGCTAAGTAATAGCATGGTACACAGAATGATATGAGACTAGATAAGTTGAAGTAGCACTAGTTTCTTTTAAACTATAATTAAATTCATTTATTAAAGGGATTTTGTAGTGACAGGTTTTTATTTTATTAATTACATGAATAGCAACAGGTTTTTTTATTTTTTTGATTAGGTGAACACTAAATTATATTCCAAAGTTTTTGCTTATTTTGATTTCCGTATGGAATTTTACAATACAAATTTAAGCTAAGATCTTTCATTTACCTGCCCACAGCAACATTCATGACAAAAATAATTATATATCACTTTCTGAAACCAAAACAATAGAAATTTTATTGAATTATTCATCTGTTCAGTTAAATTTACTTTAAATGATATTGTTTGGTTGGTGATAAGATAAGGGCAGTTAAGCATGCCAAAATTCTTACGTATGTGTACGAGTAACATCAACATACACAGCCTCTTTCAAATGCCATTATTTTTCACATCTAAAAGTATGCCCACAGTGAATTTAATGACTTTTAATATAGCATTGAATCAGCATATCAAATATAGTGTTGAACATAGAAATATAAATCATAAATATTTTCCACCAACAGCTTATGCTCAATAACAGGAATCTTGAGAGTATATTAAATGTTTTGTTCTTTAGGCTATTATATTTATATTACTTTTCTGTGCTCATGTTTTTTTGGGTTTTTTATCACATTTTTCTTAATTTGCCAATTATGAATTTGAATCTAGAAGCATAACATATTATCTAGATTGTCCTGACAGGAAAGACAGAAACCTTCACTAGTTGATTTATTATTTATTTTTGTAATCCTCATGTCACTGCTGGGAAAGCATTTTATTCAACACTAAAACTCAGCTAAGATGAAAGGACCTTTTGCAGATAAACGTCATACCTGAAATGTTGTATGTTAAAGTATTTACAATTTTGTCTCAAGATGTATAATATGTAAGCTAAAAATCAAAATTATTTTTCAGTTTATTGTATGTGATAAAACATATTTGATTGTAGATTAGTCTGTTTGAGTCATAATGTTCCATCCTTTAGGGATTACAAAGTAAAGGCTTTTAAAAATACCATTTCAGGTCTTGTTTTTCTGCATCTCCATAGATTTTAACACTTTAATAAACTTATAATCTTAAATATTAATGATAAGTTTCTCTAAAAGTTCACTTCTTGTGAAAAAGAGCTTTTTCTTATGGCTTTGTAGTGTCTAGTTTTTTTTTACTCGCATTAATCTCTTAATTTCAGTTTCTGACTTTAATAATCAGATTTTTTTAAACATGCTGTTTTGTTCTGATAAACATTTTAAAGCTTTTTTATATATACAGTAGCTGTTATAGAACTCTTTTTTTTTTTGGTTTGTTAATATACTTATCACTCCAAAATTGAGTAGCTTTGAAAGCCTGAGTTTGTATGTTTTATTTGAGCTTAAAAATTATTCCTAGATATGTATAACTCTAAATGGTTATATAGAAGTAAATTTCCTCAGATACGTTGAAAATGTATAACTGTTTTTTAAATAAATTGTGGGAATAAGCTTATCTTATAAACTAGGACATACTAAAATCCATATCTACACATGTATGAATAAAGATTAAGTATTTATAATTGCAAAAACATTTTTGCAGGCATCTTGTCACTAGACAATTCCAAGACAGTACACACCTCTTCACATAGAAAGCTATCTTCAGTGTGCATCTATATTAGAGACTTGCATTTCACTAGCCTTTAGGTAACTCCCACCTAATTTGACAAATTTTATTGGGAATTGTGCTATGAATAATAACTTTTTTATAGAGTAAAAGCCCTCCACCAATAGGAGGGTGACACAGCTTCTCTGCATATCAATTCTCTATGCTTTTGCATTTATGATTTTCATTCTTTTCCTTGACATTGAACGTGTAGGATGTGTTTTGCTATAGATTAAGGAAATTTCTTTACTTTCTTCAAATAAGGAATATCAAGTTTATGCAACTTCTTCAGCTACCTGTGTGAGTGAGGAATTTCCTCACACTAGTCAAGTTTCAAACATAGCTTCTGGAAGCATGTTAAATGTGAATGACATGATGGCCATAGTGCATAGGGTTCCATTCTGCAGCCTGGGGTTTCTATCTGAAGAGGAGAATGAAGAAGGTGAGATTGACTGGTTATGCCTTAGGAACCTGTTGAGGAGATTAATTGAACTTCTTCACTTTATCAGGACCTTGTATAACTCAGGTTTGTTCTGTTCTATCTCTTGTTCCTGTATCATATGACTTTCCCAGTTCCCCCTTTCACCGGATATTGGTGTTCATACTACTTCCTTCTTAGACCAACTATGCTCCCTCTATCATACACTTCATCTTCCTCATCCTTCTGATTCTTTTTTCATATCCTACAGTCATTCAAATTTCCTCTTTCTTGAGTCACAGACCTTAGAATTTCCCTTGCCTGTTTGGGGAGCTGACCCTTTTGGATTTCTTTTGCTCTCCAGTGCCCAGTTCTCTCATCTTTGCCTGATCCTCCTTTCAGTGCTTTATTACCTTACCTCTCTATACCTCATGTAAGAGGCACTTAGTGAGCCCCAGATGACTTTGCTAGCGATTCATGTTCCCTTTGTTTTTTCTACCAGAGCCCATACTACTACTTTTGCTATTTCCCTGCTCATTTATATCATCTGTTGTTGGGACTTGCTGGGTAGAGGTATCCTCCTTTCCCATTTTTAACTTCCTTCCTCCTTTTCATGAGACCTCTGCCTTGCCCCATTTCTTCACCCTTACATTTGTTTTGGAAGTATTCCTGATTCAATTAAAACAGGTGGATGCTGCCTGTACCTGAAGAAGACAGACCAATGCTCTGTCGAAACATGTAGTATGTATTGAAATATTTTATTATGCTCACAAATTGTTGTGTCTTATATACACAAGATTCCTTGCTATTGTTCAAAGGTTTATTTAGGTCGCACTGAGTATTAACTGTCATCATATTGTTTTTTTCTTTACTATTTGAACACACTTGGTAAGCAAACATTTTTTATGCAAATTTTTTAGCAGTGGTACATTAGAAGCCCACAAAGGATGTTTTTGAATGTGTAGAAGTCGCTGTAGTTTCTAGTAACTTGACCATCTAATGAGGCACCCAACTGTACACTTTTTACAATTAATATACCAGAGGGCCTCACTGCATTACCAATATATTTTGTGTAGGCTGTCAGTGCTGTTTCTCCTTTAGGATAGTCTAGTTTAAAAATATAATTGCAATTTATTAGAAGTTATCAGTGACCTGATCATTCAGTCACTGTGAGATAAGTTTTATAGCAATACAATAAATATTCTATTGGACTGCATATTAACTCTTTCAGCACAGGCTCGGTCCCTAGGACTGACCTCATAACCATTTTATACTTGTTATAGTTTTCATGCTATAACTTTTAAATTAGCAAGCGTATGTTAATGAAATTTGGCAGGTTATCAGTAAACATTACAATGCTTTCATATGCAAAGTATCAAATTTTTATTATGTTTTTCTCATGCTTTTTTTTTTTTTACATTTTACCTGTCCAACCTGCAAAGCAATTTTCATTTTAAGATTAAAAATACTTTTAT